CGGTGTTAGAATTATCTCACAAAGACGTTACAGCAGCCATCACACAAATACTTTAGCACACAATCACAAACACTTTTGAAACAAATGGAAAAAAAAAAAAAGTTTCAGGAATCAAAAGGAGGCTTTAGAACTGAAAAATACAGTAACCAAAATAAAAAAAGAACCTCACTAGATAGGCTCAAAAGAAGACTGAAGATGACAGAGGAAAGAATAAGTAAATTTGAAGATAGATCAATAGAAATTATCCAATCTGGACAATCAAAGGAAAAAAGATTGAAGAAAAATGAACACAGCTTCAAGGGCCTGTGAGACAATAACAAAGGGTCTAATGTCAATGTCATGAGAGCCCCGGAAGCAAAGGAGAAATGTTAAAAAAAAAAAAAAAAAATTTTTTTGAAGAAATAACGGCTGAAAATGTCCTAAGTGTGGCAAAAGACAAAAAACTACAGATGCTAGAAGTTTAGAGACCCCTAAACAGTACAAACTTAAAGACATCTACACACAAACATACCAAACTGTAACTGCTCAAAACTAAGACAAAATAATATTAATAATCTTCAAAGCAGCCAATGAAAAATGATGCATTACCTATGGGGAAACAATCTGAATGACTACAGCTTTCTCACTGGAAGCCACAGAGGTCAGAAGGAAGTGCCACGATATTTTTAAAGTTATAAAAGAACAGAACTGTCAACCCAAAATTCCATGTGCAGTAAAAATATCCTTCAGGAATGAAGGTAAAATAAAAACATTTTCAGATGAAGAAAAACTAAGAGAATTTGTTACCAGCAGACTTGCTTTAATAGACTTGCTACAGGAAGTTCTTCAGGCAGAAGGGAAATGATACCAGAAGGAGACTCTGGAGTATTAGGAATGAAGGAAGAGCAACAGAAATGGGTAAGTATAATAGACTATTCTTCTCTGGAGTTCTTTAAAATACATTTGGAAGTTTAAAGCAAAAATTGTAACATTGTCTTATGGTTTTGTTTTTTTTTTAATGTATATAGGATGTAATACATAAGACAACTATCACAAAGAGATCTATTGAGTGATTAAGGTTTCTATGCTGCACTTGAAATGGTACAATATTGATTCTAAGTCAACTGTGAAAAGATTGATGGATGATTCCAGGAGTTGTCAGCCTGATTCATCTGTTATAAAGCTCCTCATCAATTTTTCACCTGATGGTTTTAACAGCCACTGAGGATCATTACCTAGATCCACGTCTTCATTAGGGATTACAAAATGGTGATATTCTACTTCTATCATTCTTCAATTAGCTGGTATTCTTCTATAAAAAAGAACTTTCCCAAGTCAAATATTTGATTACTCTGAAATACAGTTCTATGGGAAAGGGAGGACAAATGCTTGATTCTTTTATTTGTCAGCTTTCAGATTTATGAGTTAGAATCACTATTTTTAAATGGTACACGTGATAAAGGAAATGATGGCTTAATGCCCATTGACGTAAACTTGGAAAGAACATAATTTACTCATTGTAGACAATTAAGGACCAATATCCAAACATTTAAATCATACAGGGTCTTTAACTATGGCAAGGAGTACCTAGGATGACATAATCATCTAGAACATACATAGTATAATGCATCACACTTGCTTTTTATTGCCACTGGATTATCTTTTATATGTATGTGTGAACATTTATATATACACACACATACATACATAAAATTTCCCCACTTAGATTGTAAGATCCTCACTGACAGTAGGAGAACGAGATCAAGGCGATATACACTTGTTAAAGGATTAAATGATATATAAAAAGAAGTATGTCCTTTATGCTGAGTGAAATAAGTCAATCACAAAAGGACAAATATTCTATGAGACCTCTATTGTAAAAACCCATGAAAAAGTTCACACACAAAATGTAACAATCTTTGTTGGTTACCAGGGATGGGAGGGGTGGGGGGGAAATATTAAATAGGTAATAGATAAGTGGTATCTTGGGTGAAGGGTGAGACAGTACACAATACAGGGGAAACTAGCACAACTTGTACAAGGAAAGGTCATGGAACCCCCATAGACACATCCAAACTCCCTGTGGAACTGAATTGCTGGGCGGAGGGCTGTGAGGACCATGGTCTCAGGGAACATCTAGCTCAACTGGCATGACACAGCTTATAAAGATAATGCTCTACATTCTACCTTGGTGAGTAGTGTCTGGGGTCTTAAAAGCCTGTGAGCGGCCATCTAAGATACTCCACTGGTCTCATCCCTTCGGGAGCAAGGGAGAACGAAGAGAACAGGATACAAGGAAAAGATCAGTCCAAAGGACTAACCGTCCACAGCTACCAAGGCCTCCACCGGACTGAGTCCAGCACAGCTAGATGGTGCCCGGCTACCACCACTGACTGCTTTGACCAGGATCACAACAGAGGGTTCTGGACAGAGCTAGAGAAGGATGTAGAGCATAATTCTAACTCACAAAAAAAAAAAGACCAGATTTACTGGTCTAAAGGAGACTGGAGAAATGGCCCCCAGACACCCTTTTAGCTCAGTGGTGAAGTTACCTCCGAGGTTCACTGTTCAGCCTGGGAGTGGACAGCCCGGTAAAACCAAATGAGACTAACGAGGTACAGGAGTCCAGTGACAAGGGCCAGAAGGCAGAAGGGGACAAGGAAGCTGGTGATAGGGAACCCAAGGTTGAATAAGGATATTGTTGATGTGTTGTGAGATTGTTAACCATTGTCATAGGGCAACATTTATAGTAACTGTTAAACGAGAAACTATTTTGTTCTGTAAGCCTTCATCTTAAGTGGGAATAACAGCACAATTGGAAGAGCGTAGTCAATGTCACTGAACTGTGCATGTAGAAATTTTTGAAATGGTGTATCTTTGGCTATGCGTATTTTCACCAAAAAAAAAAGGTTGAGAAGTTAGAGGGTTGATATGTTGTGGGGTTGTTAACCAATGTCATAAAACAACATGTGTACTACTGTTTCATGAGAAACTATTTGTTCTGTAAGCCTTCACATGAAGTACAATAAAAAAATAAATTAATTTAAAAAAAAAAAAAAAAGAAGTATGTCCTTGGATATCCAAAGCCAAAGGAGAAATCCTACCATATGTGGTCTTTCTGTTAATCATTCACAGTTTTGTGTTAAGCCATTATTATCATTTTTAAATCAATTACTCTGTGTAAGTCACTATACTGAGGATTTTACTGATAGTATCTCATCTAATCCTCACAACAACCCTGGGAAGCAGGTTATCAGCATCCCCATTTTAAAGACAAGGAAACCACTTGGCAAGGTGACTATGCAGCATGGCCAACTCATGCTTCATTATGACAGAGCACAAATCTGAGCCCAGACTCTGGCTTCAGAGTCATTTCTCTCAGTCACACCCATATCCTGTTAGTGAAATGCATCCATCGGCCCTGCTAAGGTGGGTTTCAGCTGTTCTACTAACCATACAACAATCTGGCAGCTATGCCATATTTCTGCCATCCAGGACCCAGAGGATGAAATAAGGCCACAGGAGAAGGGACATGGGAGAGGTATAAACTCCCTGTGTCCCTACTGGGAGGGTACAGGAATCATTGCTCCTTGGGAAGGAATAAATACACAAAAGACAGTGACCCTCCTACTCAGGGATTTAAAATAGAACCAACAGGGCAGGGGAAATCAATCCATCAAAACAATCACTGAAGGCATTAAAACTTACGGGGGAAAAATTTAATAACATGGGAAAATGGTCACAATTAAGGGGACATTTCATTTAGGGGTAGGTAGTGGTGTTAAGAAATCTGGCATGAAACAGCCTGAATATTTAACAGTGTTTTATTCTAGCTTGTGGGATTATCAGCAGTTTTGTTTCCCTCTTTATACTTTTCTACGTTTTTCAAGCTCTTTACAATAATTAAGAGAAAAAATGTTATGAAAATACATAAGCACAGAAAATAAACATGTAAATTTGTTTGGAGCTGACTATAGTCACATAGATTCCAGTATTCCCAACATTCAGGGTGAAAAGAAAGAAGAAATAGTGACGAGTGAGCAAAGCACACAGCTGGGGTCCCAGCGACTTGCTGGGAGAGCTGGGCACTATTAAAGGTGGGGAAGAGACACTTGAAGGTCCCTGAGGCTGCTGTGTGTGAGATCGTTCTGGACACAGGGATGCTAGGAAGGAAGGCACGGCAAGTGTCCAGACAAAGAGCAGTTAAGCCTGACACCGAGAGCGCTGAAGGCACGGTGAGGTAGAATGAACTTAGTGGAGGTCTGTGTGTGCATATCATGGACTATTATAAAACCACTTACCGTCAAGTCAACTCTGACTCACGGCGACCTCATGTGTGTCAGAGAAGAACTGTGCTCCACAGGGTTTTCAATGATGGATTTTTTAGAAGTAGATCACAGGGCTCTCTTCCAAGGCACCTCAAGGTGGACTCAAAACTCCAACCTTTCAGTTAGCAGTCGAGTGTGTTAACCATTTACACCACCCTGGGACTCCACAGAATACTGCACAGCAGGTCATATGAGTGGGGGTGGTCCCAGTCAAGGAGGACTTTAGCTTTGTATTCTTATAGTATGTGCACAATTCATTTACAAACCCTTTTTTTGTTTTTTTTTTTAAGAACCCAAAATAAGAACGAAAGCAAGTAAGCACATGAGGGTCTGGGGTCAGAGAGCCAAGTAGATGAAGGTTTGAATGAGCCTAGAATGGGCTCTGCTACTTATTTGCTGTGGAACCTGGATGAGATAATTTACCTCTCTGCACTTGAGTTTCCTTACCTATTAACTAATAATACCTATATTTGCAAGGCTATTATGAGAACTGAAAATAAAGCAAGTCCCAGGCCCAGAGAGTTCCCAATAAATGGTAGGTGAGCATTTACACATTTACACAAGAAAAGTGACAAAGAACAGAATCTGGGTAAGAAGAGAGAATGCCTGAGCCTAGCAGTGTGAGAAACACAGAATGAGAGTGGCCAGTTCAGAAGGAGCAAGGATCCCAGGCTCCACATCCTCTGCACTTACTGCAGTTCTCTTCATCGCTGCCATCAGGACAGTCCTCAAACCCATTACACCGGAAGCGCCCAATGATGCAGTGGATGCCGCTGGCACAGGGGAAGAACGTTGGGCCGCATTTCGATTTCGCCTTGGCTGCAAGAGGAAAAACAAGATGAACAGTAAGCCATCAGGAGATGAGAGCTCCCAGACCAGTGCATACCCACCCAACTAACCACAGGGTGCAAACGAGTCCTTTCTGATTTACTTTGAAATCCCTAAATGTTTCTTACCACCACTCCCCACCCCAAACACCCAGCCAGATTGGAAGCTGACAGGCACCATCCTCTAGGGAGTAGCTAATCCTCCTGCTTCAAAAGTTCCAAAGAGGTGAAGCATGGCCTCTGAACACCAGAGAGGGGCGCAATCAAAATGTGCCGAACAAAGGGGTGAACAGCTGAGTGCCTGGGTAGATGGATGACAGATGGAACTTGCTTCTTAAGGTGCCAAAGAGCCAAACAAAAGTCATTCTCTGACTGTCAAAGTAACTGTTGTTGTTGTTACTATTAGCTTTTGTCAAGTCGGCCCTTGACCTCATGGTGATCCCGTGCACAACGGAATGAAATGCTGCCCGGTCCTGTGCCATCTCCACAATCAGTCGTGGATCGAACAATTGTGATCCACAGGGTTTTCACTGGCTGATTTTTGGAAGCAGATGACCAGGTCTTTCTTCCAAGGTACCTTGGGGTAGAATGGGCACTGTTCTTAGCCCCACTTTATAGATGTGCTTTGAGAGGCGAAGTGACTTGCCCCAGGTCCCACTGCTGGAAAATCTGGCTCAGGGATGTAGTCCCGGACACTCAGACTCCAGAAGCCCCGCTTTCAATCAACTCAACTGCACTGCCTCCCTGACAAAGGCTGTCATGTCTCGCAACAGAAGCCAGACTCCTGCTCCAACGAAATTCTTCTTCCACTCCAGCTGTACAAATAGTTATAAAAGAAACTGCTATAACTGTGGCTTGATTTAGTGTCCTGCTAACCAAACCGCCCTGTGGGGTAATTCACTTTCCTGTTAACAGTGCTGGCTGCTCTGGCTTGCGATTACAAGGTGTAAGATCAGATCTGCTGCAGCATCCCAGGTAGCAGGCCCCACCTACCATCCCTCTTGTCTCTTGTCTTAGAGGCAGGACCCATGGCCCTCCAAGAAGGAAGGGCCATTACTGTGGAACAAACAGGCAGTAAATTACCTCCATGTCCCTGTCATCTGAAACGTGAACTTTGGCAGCAGCCGATTCACAGTCAACAGGGTTTTAAAGCCTGGGACATGCCCCGGTTTAAAATACCCAGGTGGCTTTGCTTCAACCTGGAACTTCTATCGTGGGGCTAATGTGCTCTTCACAAAGCAAAATTTGGGAGCGAGAGTCCTAGGTTCAAATCCTGGCTCTACTTTTATGACTGTGGACAGGTTTTTAAACATTGCTGAACCTTAGTTTCCTCATTGGTAAATTACAGGGAACATCTAATCTACTTCACAGGGCTCTAGTAAGGATTCAGTGAGATAATCTGCATAAAAGGCTTAGCAGAGAACATGCCACATGGCAGATGCTCAATGTAATGGTAATACTTATACTGGGTATTAACATCATCACTACCAGGAGGTTTACATAGAGCATTTAAATTGATCCTTGGGTTGCAAAATTTTTTTCTCATTACCAAAGTTAAAAATGCTCATTACAGAATATCTCTATGAACTGATATGATGTGATTTCTAGGATATACTGTTAAGTGAAAAAAGGAAAGTAATCTTCACAGAAGAAAAGGGGACATAAGAAAACATACATGTTTTGGCTGATTTGTGCAAAAGAAGCATAGGAAGGGGGTTTCTTATGGAGGTGGGTAGGAAAGGGGTGGAAATAATGGGGAAATAAAAATGAGGTAGTAGAAATGAGAGAGGAGGAGGGAGGAGCCCTGGTGGTGCAGGGGTTAAGAACTCGGCTGCTAACCAAAAGGTCAGCAGTTTGAATCCACCACCCACTCCTTGGAAACCCTATGGGACAGTTCTACCCTGTCCTACAGGGTCACTATGAGTTAGAATCAACTTGGCAGCAATGGGTTTGGTTTGGTTTTTTAGAGATGAGGAGGGTGCACACTTCTAAGTAGGTCTTTTTTTCAATATATTTTAGTGTGTTTTTGGTGAACGTTTACACAGTAAAATAGGTTACCATTTAACAATTTCTATACATATTGTTTTGTGATATTGATTACATTTTTCATAATGTGTCAGCATTCTCATTATTTCCACTCTGGTTGCTCTGTTTCCATTAATCTAGCTTCCCTGTCTCCCTTACCTTCTCATCCTTGCTTTAGGGTAAATGTTGACCATTTGGTGTCATACAGATGATTATTTAAAAGAGCACAGTACTCATGGGTGATATTGTTTATTTTATGAGCCAATCAATCTGTTACTTGGCTGAAAGGCAATTGCTGGGAGTGGCTTCAGTTCCAACTTTAAAAGGCATCTCAGGGTGATGGTCTCAGGGGTTCCTCTAGTCTCTACTGGTCTTAGTAAATCTTTTTATATGGCTCTGGCCCACTAGAACTATGATACTATTTCACATACCCTCAAAATAAACAATGTAGGGGGGCCCTCAAACAGAATATAAACAGTAACAAATGAAACTAACTGTATTGCAAATGAATAACACCACCACACTGCAGGAGGCAGGGAAGAAAAGAAGGAACTGCAGTAACTTTGGGAAACACTGCTTTGACTGAATTCATGAGCATTAAAAAAAGAAAAAAAAAGAAGAAGAACTGTATATAAATACCCTACTCTAGCTAGACTTGTTTCTCAGAGGGGTATGGATTAGGTTTTCTGAAATTACCTTAAGTGTGCACTAGCATTGAACAAATAAGTAAATACACGATAGATAATAAGAGGCAGGTCTCTCACTCTCAAGAGAAAGAAGTTAAAAATAAGGAAAGTTGAAAGGCTAAAATAAACCCTGAGGTTTTGGATTAGAATTGAAAGCATCAGTATGAACTCAAGGTTTTTTACAAAATATGTACACAAAAAAACAAGGACAAATATTGTATGATCCCGCTTAGATGAAGTAACTAGAATAGGTAAATGTATAGAGACCCAAGTTTATTACTGGTCATCAGGGGTGGGAGGAAGGGGGAAAGGGAGAGAGCCATTGTTTAGGAACATCAAGTATCTGTTTATAGTGATGGGAAACCTGGCAACAGATACCAGTGATGGTTGCACACCATGATTAATGTGACCAGTGTCACTGAATCATACATGTAAAAAAATGTCGAACTGGCAAATGTGTTACATGTATATTTTTACAACAATAAAAAGTCACAAAATATATAAACAGATACAATAATAAATAGAGATGTGTCTGTACACATGGTTAGCAAACACACATATATTCCTTAGCTCTGCCTACTGAGAGGGATTAGAGGCAACAGACTCCAATAGCACGGAGCACACCTAGCACCCGGATCTTGGTTTCTAAATGTCATCCTCCAATAATGGGAACCAGAGCTTCTTGGAGAAGTGGTTGATCCCAGGGGGAAAATACAAGATGAACTTTGAAAATCTAGTGCTGACAGAAGGTAAAGAAGTGCTCCAAAAACCATGGGAGTGTTAAAAGGATACAGGAGTCAATCTGAAGGGGCCCCCAAAGGCCAAATCTAAACAACTTGAGCAACAAAATCAGTAACGACGATACTGAAGTGTAACCCAGAGAATAAAGTAAACATCCATGAGCTCACACTGATACCAAAAATTGTCGAATAAATAAATAAATGAGGGAGAAGGGAAAGCTCTTCCATACAGAGAATTCCAGTTCATCAATGTGGAAGAAATGAGAGAAACAGAAAACCACCACTAAGCTTTAACGTCCCCATCACAGCTATCACGCAGCCCCTGGATACTGTCCAATGTCATGTCTAACCGCTCTCGGCGATGTAGCTATGCTGGCCTCCCTTTTCCTCCTGGAGCCCAGCGGGCATATTTCCACCTCAGGGCCTCTGCACTCTGCTGCTCCCCCTGCCTAGGGTGCCTTCCTCCCAGAGATCAGCTTGGCTCACTCCTCCATCTTACTTAGGTCTCTCTGACCATTGAGATGTCTACAGTAGAACCCCCTACATCCACCCTTGGTCCCTCTAGCCCTTACCCTGATTTTCTTCACAGGACATATCACGACCTGATGCCACAGGCTTTGTTGTGTTGTTTGACTGCTGTCTCTTCCCGTCCAGAACTTATGTTTGTTTGAGTACTTTAACTCACCGCTTTTGACAAAGCTGCCCTGTCCAGTGCCTTCAACAGGTGCTCAGTAAACATTTACCAAATATACACATGAACTTACAAAATGACAGAGTGGCACTGGATAATAACAACTCACACTTACTGAATGCTTAGAATGGGCCAAGCATTGTGCTGTGCGCTTTACAGATATCATTTCATTTATGCCTCACAAAAACCCATTTTACAGATAAGAAAACTGAGGTCCAGAGGCGAGATAGCTTGACACTGCTAATAAACTGAGTCAAGTCTCAAACCTTGCTCTTGATTCATCTCCTCTACTGCCTCCTCAGATTTCTCTAAAGCTCAGTCGTGCTCCAAAAAACTAGACTTTACGAGACACGGAAAGAGAATAAGAATATGAGTGATTATAAACATATTAGTTACCATTCAATTAACCAGGCCTTTTGGCCCTGCTCCTGCACCCTCTTCAGGAATTACTAATGAGACTTCTTGCCTTGTCTGTGATGCTCAGTCAGTGTTTGTGTCAGAGGGAGCCTGTCCTGTTAGGATCTACATTTGCACCATCAGACGCCTGCTAAGGCGACCTCCACGGTAGATCACAGGCTGCCAGCGGAGAGCCTGGCAGTGGCACAGAGAGAAGCTGGTGCTGACAGCTGTCGGTTGCTCCCTGCCTGCACAACCCACAGTGGGGTTCAAGGGGGACCTGTACAAAGCCCAACTGTCCCTCCCCCACCATTTCCGCAAAGGGGAGATTTCTGCACAGACCTCGGCAGCCCTTGGCAGAAGGCAGAAGTCAGGCTCTGTGTATCTTTAAAGCCGCCCTGAAGACGGCTAACAGGGAGACTATTCCATAAAATACTGGAATCCCTCACTTTTC